AAATTAATTATGACTTAATTATTTTAATTAAGGGCTTTAATGGTCCACATAAATATAATAAGATATCACAATCATATAAATCCTTCAATCTTGAAATGAGTAGCCAAATAGTTTACTTGGATTTAATTTAATTTAAAAGGTATCATTACAAACAATCTTTCATAATTTAACCTTCATAAGAGTTATAAAAACTGGATTTACAGGATTTATTAAATCCTGCTTGAGTTGAATTCTATTTGCAGCCAATTAGCAGCTTAGGTTCAAATTTGGTCAAATCAAACCGCATATAGTTTTAATACACCAAATGATTATGTGATCGTAATGTTAGGTCGCTCGTTAATCAGCTAGGGATGAGCTAATCTGATATAAGTTACAATTAGGTTGATATTCATGCCACATTTTGTCAAAACCTACACCATTTACAGGCCTCTACTTATTCAATCTATAAAATATCAATTCTAGGGATAAGCTTCACTGCAACTACAGACTAATCTTCAGTCATTCAGTATTAATCAAGAAACAATGCAAAACCATATCGTGGTGAAGCAACTAAGGATGAGATAGCAGTGAGGAACTAAACATAAAGGGCTATTTTCAAATTTTAACTGAAAAAAATAAGCCCTAAAAACTATTTCTCAATTTCATACTTCATGAATAGGACTTCTATTATATCATAAGCCAGAAAATCAAAAATAGAAGTCAACATGCTAAAACACACATTGGTAAGTTAAAAAGCCAAAAAGGGCACAAAACTTATTGTCGCCATAAATAATTTGCTAGAAATCTTAAGTTTCAAGAAATTCAACTAATAGAATTAATCGATTTGCCTATATTCCTACTTAAATTGCATGATTACCTTCCTGCAGGTAGACATTGGGTCTTCGGAGTAAAATGGTGGGTAACCAACAAGCATTTCATACATAATTGCACCAAGAGACCACCTGATTAATATAAGTTCACAATCAGACAAACCGAAGGAAAGGAAAAGAAAGAAGAATCATGAGAAAAAGATAGCTATATGAGAAAATTAAGAACCGACCAATCACACTCCATGCCATATCCTTTTTTCAGCAGAACTTCAGGTGCAATGTAATCAGGTGTTCCCACAGTTGAATAGGCCTGCTTCCATATAAGGAAATGTAAGTAAGAATGCCAATCAACAATCCGATATATTCTTTGAACAAAAAGGGAGAATAGTGAACATTAGCAATTCATGAATATACTTTGCCCATTTCTATTTCAAAAGTTTGAAACTCGGAACAGGCAATAAAAATAAGAAACAGAACAAAGACAAGCGGAGGAACATAGTATTTAACCAAAATTAAAAGCAAAAAAAACGTAGTGGCAATTCTCTCAATGAGGCTAGACAAACTACATTTTAATGAAACATTAGGCACAATGCAGAATTTTTAAGGGAAATTTTTAGTTGACTTTCTTTTTTTTTATTTTTTATTTTTTATTTTTTATTGTGCTTTAGCAAATTGTTGAGACCAAACCCAACTAAATTCGTGTAAATGAAGTTTACTCTCGCTGCAAAAACTTTTAAAGGGAAAAAAAAAGCATCCGAGTCCAAAGTAAGTGATGAAAAGATGCAAAGGCAAGAAACCTAAATTTGAAGATCATGATTTGCATGGCAATGCAAACATATTACCAGCATCCGTCTATTCTTTTGCCAATGTAATAACTGCTCCTGTTGTGTACGCTTTGGTGCAGTAGATGTGCTCAAATGCTTATGACCATCTAATGGAGCCTTGGTACCCACTCCATGATCAGGCTCGGTCAGGTTTGGAAAGCTACTACTATCCAAAGGTTTGCACAAACCAAAATCTGACAGCTTCATATGGCCATTTCGATCTAACAATAAGTTATCTGGTTTAATATCCCTGTTGGAAATAAACAGACCATATTCTGTGTGATTACACTTGAATGAAGTAGTGGGGGGAGAATAACAATTTCTGAAACATTAGTACCTATGTATGTAATTGTGTTTATGTATAGATTCAATGGCCAATACAGTCTCCGCAACATAGAACCTGGCCTCATCTTCTGTTAAGGTGTCCTTGCGCATCAGCAAAGTCATCATGTCACCTCCAGGAAGATACTCCATTATAAGATACAAATACTCATCATCTTGGAAAGAACAATAGAGTTTAACAATACAGGCACTATCAACCTCTGCAAGAAGATTCCTTTCAGCTTTAACATGCTCTACCTACAAAACAGATGCATAAAGTTCAGCTGCTTTCACGGAAAGCAATGAAGCAAAAGATACACATCAGCTGCTTTCACGGAAAGCAATGAAGCAAAAGATACACATGAAGATACCTGTCCTCTTCTAAGCATCTCAGATTTTTTCAATTTCTTCATTGCATATACATTACCAGTACTCTTCTCCCTGCATAATCTCACCTGAATACAGAAGAAAAAAAAGATGCAAAGCTAGATAGTCTACAGGCCAGAATGCTAAATAGATATCAATGGCAAAAAACCAAGAAAAATTGACCAAAATATACACTATTTAAATCAAAAGAAATTAATTTTTTTAGCTATTTAACAATTCAAGCACTGAAAAAATACGATGAGATACAGGGACAAAATATTATATCTGGCAGTGTTGGCAACTGGAAAGCA